TTGTTCTATCGCTTCGTCCGTGGTTACCTCCCTAGGTGTTTGGGTGTGTCTTATCCCTCCAATTAAAGTTGTCAGCCCTAGGCAGGAAAAGCACAATTTTTTCATTTTCCCCATGAAGTTCAACCCTCATGGAAGATGGTTATTTTAGTACAGTTCCATTTTGAGTTCGTACCTCAATGGTCGAGTCTTGTTGACAGTTTTCTTTTCGGTTACATCCCGAATTGAACTTTAGTCTTTGGCAATCACAGTATGGACAATCTCCAATTGTCAGACATGGATTAAGTGTGCATTTATTTTGCACCTTATTCCCCAGGAAGAGTATTCATGAAGACATACATCTCTTCAATAACAACATCACAAGATTTTCTCAAACATCTACATTTGGACTGTGACAAATCTCTTTATTTGAGCAACCCGTTTTGATCAGGATCTCAGTCAAAATGAAAAACGACAGTTTCTACAAGACAATCATTTACCCTCAGTGGGTCCTTCAACATTATTGATTCATCAGAAAAGACAGTTACATACATTTCTCTTTATTTGAGAATTCACACATTTTTACAACAACTAGGATGCTCCTCAAGAACTTATTCCCCAACGAGTTCATCACACAAGTTTATTTCCATCAAGTGACATCTCCCCAGAGAAGTCGAGGAAACTTTTACAAGAAGACATACAATACAATTCAACCGGCTCACATCTCTTCTGAAGATCCCCGTTGAAGCATTACATCACAAACTACAGTCTACAACAACATTACATCTACAAATTACAAATTACAATTACAAAGTACATTACAAGTTACATCTACAATCTACAATGATTTTACAATCTACAAAATTTTTAACATTTCGAGTAGAGACTGAGACCAGCTCATGGTTCCCATATCATGACGCTCGGGGAGGTTCTACTTCATTAGAGACTAAGACCAGCTCATGGTTCCTATACCATGACGCTCGGGGAGTATCTACTTCATTAGAGACTGAGACCAGCTCATGGTTCCCATACCATGACGCTCGGGGAGGTTCTACATCAGAGACTGAGACCAGCTCATGGTACCCTTATCATGACGCTCGGGGAAGTTCTACAACTACAACAACATTTACAATTTACAGAGTTCTACAAACAACAATCTACATTTACAGTCTACAACGACATCTACAACAACAAACTACATCTACATTGACAAATTACATCTACGATCTACATAATCTACAGCTAAGACCCATTCATGGTACCCTGACCATGAGGCGTGGGGTGGCGTTTTTCAGAGCTAAGACCCGTTCATGGTACCCTGACCATGAGGCGTTGGGGAGGCGTTTTCATCCTTTTCATCAATCATTGGAACATCTTTCATTTCCTGGTTAATCTCGGCAGTAGATTCCCAGAAGACCTCGGCAGTAGGTAGTCCCATTCCATTTCCTAGTTAATCTCGACAATAGATTCCCAGAAGACCTCGGCAGTAGGTAGTTCTATTTCATTTCCTGGATAATCTCGGCAGTAGATTTCCAGAAGGCTTCGTCAGAAGTATGTCTACAGCAACTTCAACATAGAATCTCAGCAGTAGATTCCTTACAATTTTAACAGTAGATACTTTGGCAAAAGTATTCCCAATTAAATCTATAAGTCTTGACAATAGACTTCTCCGGTTGATATCTCGAATCATTTACATTTGACATATCCAACAAGTTCTTCAAGTGGTTTTCTCACGAGTTATCCACAATATATTTACAAACACTTTGTGATTGTCAATCTTTCCCCGTGGAGCCTCACTCGTTGAGCACGCTCTTCCCGTGTGTCGTGTCTAGTTTCCCCCTGTGCCGCTATTTCTCCACAGGACCTCTCTGTCTTGCATTTCATATCATTGCACATCATTTGCATTTGGTGGCTTTTTACGGCCAAAAATTCGTGCAATGTTTGTATTTAAGTCCCTCATATCTCGTCGAGACGAAGATTTCAATCTCCATATCTCCGGATAGAAGTAACTTAAATAGAGGCATCTGTCGCACCCTAGTTTTTGACCGTAAGATCTCACCTCGTTTTGTGCATTTTCTACTGTTACTCGGCTTTAATCTTATATATATATATATATATATATATATATATATATATATATATATATATATATATATATATATATATATATATATATATATATATATATATATATATATATATATATATATATATATATATATATATATATATATATATATATATATATATATATATATATATATATATATATATATATATATATATTTATTTATTTATTTATTTATTTATTTTGCGACTAACCAACTTGCGCAAGTGCATTAAATTCAAGTAAGGAGGACACTTACAACTCAGTCCCTCCCGACACAACGTTATGACTCTTATTCAGGTTATGCTTATGGTGTGATTTCATCGTTTAAGTAGTCGGCGACAGGTTCAAGGAAATACATACAGTTTATCAAATCTTGAGCCAAGTTTTATCAAAGTCCGCAGCCAAGTTCATAAATTGGTTTGAACATTTTTATTTTTTGGTTCCAAAGATCGAAAGGAAGACTAGAATGATGCGTGAAAGGGCTGATATCATTTTGCCGTAAGAGATTCGTCATACCCAAATAAGTTCATGTGTCGCATAATTTGAAAGTTATCGCGGGCGGTGCGAAGTGGAATCTCACAAGAACCATACCAACATTTCGTGGCAAATTTCCTATTTGATATTTCCTATTTGATACTTTGTGGGTGTAACCAACTTATACAGGCACAAAAATCTAAGGGGGGGTCACGGTTCTTATGGGAAGTGGAATTTCAGGTTATCCTTGGTTGTACGGGAAACAAGTCAAACAAGTCTTGGAGTTAGATTATCATGTTAAGTTCAAGTTTTCTTTTGGTACTCGAAATTTTCGGGTAGAGGTGTAAGAGATGACACAAGTTTCACCCCGAGAATTCGCTAAACTCAAAGCATTCCAAACTTATTCTAGTTTTATTCAAAATCTAAGAAAACTCAAGTCAAAGTCAAAAAAGAATTAAGTAAATCAAAGCTCATATTATTCATCACCTTTCAAAGGGATTTTGTTCAACAACAATTACATCGAAATTACCTTACATCAACACTATCAAATGAGTGGTCATGAATTTGCAAGCATGCGTGTTACAAAATCGGGATTAACATTAAGCAACTAAGACGCGAGATACTAGATGCAAAGTTGTGATCCTCATGGCTATCTTATACATCATACAAAAGTTTAACATCATGTCGCCTTCACATTGGAAAATTCGAGGATGAAAGTGAGCAAATAGTGAAGGAACTGTGTCTAAACAAAGTCTAAAAATAAATCTTCAGCAAGGGAGGCGTGGACTTTGGCGTACTCCCCCCCTGTAACTTCTGTTCGACTCCGTAGTCATTTTTCACATTATGAGAAGCTCGCATTCTCCGCACCTGCTTCAAAATCAATTACAGAGTGATAATTATAATTTGCTATAGTAGACTTCTCCAAGATAGTATCATTACACATGACGTTGGTGAGTTACGAATATGTGGTATATGCTCGAAGAACCTACCGGCAGATGAAACAGTGTTGTGACTGTGTTCTGGAGGAAGCATGCCTAATCCTTTGAACTTGCAAGCAAAACCGCCAAATTGCGAATCGTAATCAGAACTTCTGCACAAAAGAGCATATTACCAAGCATGACATATTAAACCAAAGGATCACAAGGTCGAGGTCGGTTTTTCGCTCACTCTAGTCTATAACCGCAAAGAGCTTGTTACAACCTGTCTCTGCAAGTTCCCCATGGGAGGATATCCAACAACCATCCATCACTGCACCTGCAAGACCTTCATCTGCAGAATACATAAGACAAATTCACAACCGCCACCGACACCATCCTATTCCTAAGAAACCCGCGCTCCAGCTACGTTGAGGCATCACCATTCCCTGCAAACCAAAACACATACGCGACTAATTGACCTTCAGAATACGACAACTTTTATGTTGAATTGAAGGAGAAACTCAAACGCAAACCATTACTAAACCAAACGCATAAAAGGCTTATGACTGCTCTAGCCTACATTTATTTCAGTAGAAACAATTAGTTTCAATCTCTTTCAGAAAGGCGTGAACTTTGCCGCTGACTTCAATCCAACTGCTACCTGGAATCCTCATCATCCCTTTTTCCTTCATCTCTGTCCTTAATCTTGACACATCTGACCACCTACCTGCTGCAGAATAAGCATTTGACAACATAACATATGACGATACATCATCAGGATCCAACGCCAAAATATTTCTTGCTGCAAGCTCCCCTAACTCCAAGTTATGGTGGATTTGGCATCCCCAAATATAGCCTTCCAAAATCCGTTTCCTGGATTGAAAGGCATACGATGAATGAAGCCCTGGGCTTCTGTAACACGTCCAGAGCGAGCAAGCATGTCAACCATGCAAGCATAATGCTCAGGTTTTAACAAATCGGGACTCTCAATCCTAGCTTTATTGAAATACGAGCAACCTTCGCCAACAAGACCGGCATGATTACAAGCCAAAAGTAGTCCTAATAGGGATACCCTATTCGGTTTGATGCCTACCGAACACATTCTTTCGAACAAGCTTATTGCCTCAATGCCCCTTCCATTATGTGCATAACCACATATCACAGCATTCCATGACACTACATTCCTTTTATAAATCTTATCAAACACCAAGAGACTTTCTTCCATGCTTCCACACTTTGCATAAAAGCTAATAAGCGAATTACCAACAAATTCATTAAGTTTACCCAAAAACTTGATTGCACACGCATGAAAACATCTCCCAATTCCAAGTGAAGCTATACTAGAAGCTGCTGAAATCACACAAGGAAACGTAGACTCGTTCGGAACAAAACCTTCTCTAAGCATGTCAATAAAAAATCTCACAGCCTCTTCGTTATGTCCTGCTTTACTACACCCACCAACCATCGCATTCCACGAGACAACATTCCTCTCCGGCATCTCGTGAAAAACCCGAAAAGCATCTTCAAACTTTTCCGTCTTCAAATAACCACCAATCAACGGTTGTATATGACACCACATTAGGATACCGAGTATCCTCGAAAGCCATCTGTGCTTCCTCTATAGTACTCAACTTCACATACAAATCAACAAGTGCACTACCAACAAACACATTACCACCAAGCCCAGTTTTAATAGCACGGCCATGAAGCTGTTTACCAACAACAACATTTCCAAGCCGGGTCGAAGAGTGAAGCACGGTTCCAAAAGTGAACTCATTTGGTCGAATCGTCGATGCAAACATTCTCGAAAAAAGATATATAGCATCTTCATGAAAATGCCGCCTGGAGAAACCACATATTATACTGGTAGCTGATTTAACAGTTAGTTCAGACATTTCATCAAACATGTTGCAGGCAACATCGAAAGTGGTTGAATCAAACCCATTTGGTTGAAACTCCGTGTGTAAAACATTGATTTTATCTTGGGCATGAAAGATTTTAGTTGTATAGCTACAAGAAAGAAAATGGGATGTGATCCATGAAGGTATAGAGAATCTAGAAACTATGTTTTTCATGTGAGTTTTTTGTATGGTTTTGGATTGGTGTTTTCTTATCACTGTTATGTTAATGTTTGACAAAATTTAAGAATAGGAAACAAAGCTAAACGAGTTTCGCGTACAATACGAGGTGGCTGTCGGAGCTGGATGTGATAGGTGAAAAATTATGAGTTTAAATAAAATTTAGTGAAAAGGATTGATATAAGGTAAAATATAATTTAAAAAAAAAAGTTGTTTATGTTATTTGAAATGAAAAAACAAAATTGTTTTTCATGATAAAATGTTCAAATAATAAAATTAAATTTCTATTGTATTTTATTTCATTCCACTTGTATTCATTTTAAAAGATAGTATTAAATTAAGTTAACCAAACAACTAAAACAGGAGGATCTTGCGTTAAGTGCTTAGCAGCTGCATTCACGTTTGCCGGTAATCACACCACCAAGTTGTCCAACTTGAATATGGAGAATTTTTGCATTCTCAAAAAGCTTCACATATCTATTCATCCTCTCAAATTTAAGAAAACAGTGGAGGTTCTTTGGCAGCCTCGAGTCAAGAAGTGCATAGCAGCTGCTTCCACGTTTGCCGGTAATCACACCACCAAGTTGTCCAACTCGAATATGGAGAATTTTTGCATTCTCAAAAAGCTTCACATATCTATTCATCCTCCCCAATTTAAGAAAACAGTGGAGGTTCTTTGGCAGCCCCCGAGTCGAGATTGGATCAAGTGCAACAGGAACAGATTTGTTGTTGGAGTTCCGTCCTTATAATCTTGCGACGATATTTTTTGGAATGAGTATGCGGAGCATAAAGGTAGCTTTGATATTTTTTTTATTCCGGGAGCGGTGTGTTTGCTAAGCTCATGGCAGCCATTATTGCCATTGAGTATGCCATTAAGCACAAGTGGAATAACCTTTGGATAGAGTCTAACTCTACTAGTGTTAATGATTTTCCGAACTTTAGCATTGTCCCTTGGAAAATTAGAACTAGATGGTTGGTCTGTGTTAATTCAACTCTTAATATGAATTTTTTGGTCACTCATATTTTTAAGGAAGCCAACGATTGTGCGGATTTGTTAGCCACCGTTGATTTCAAGTCTAGAACTAGAAATTGGTTCAATTTTGTGCATAGTGACAGTAACAATGATTTTTTGTTAGCCACTCAAAGGAGAATTTAGAATCAGATGTTGGTAGTGAAAGTGGATATTAGAGATTGTGCACTTGAAAACTCTTTACGAAAGTATTTATACCTTGAATCTGATGGGGCAGGTTGGATAATGAGTCTCATGCAATTGGGCATTTGGCCGACGTGGAGACGTGGGTCCCGAGTCTTTGACTAACACAGAACAATGGGTCCTGGGTCTTTGGTCGGCACATAACATATTCATTGACTTGACGGTCTAAAAAATATTTTATACATATATCAAATTCAAAAAATTTCTATTAGATATTTACTAAGAAAACTTGAATGATGGATAAATCAATTTTTCTTAAAACTGTTCCGATCAGAAACCAAAAATAAAATGATGATATGAAGTAATTGTGATTATGAGTTTCTGGCACAATGGAAAGAGGAGACCTGTAAGGTTAACACTCAAACGTCCAAGTTAGTATGTGAAGAAGAAAAGTGAATTCAAATTGTGTTTGAAACTTATTACCTGAATTTGACGCCTTCTCTATAGATAGTAGAGAGAGAATAAAAAACTCGTTATTTATTAGGAGTGGATTGTGGATAATCGTTGGATGCACTTGCAACTAAGATCTTTGTGATCATCGGGATGTGAGCCCTCGTGTGCTAAGATTGTCGAAGAATTATCGTTCCCTCAGAGTGGTCAAGCGAGGTCGATACGACCATTCCGTGCATGTGCTTGGTGGGCCATGGGTTTGTTACTTCATCTTTGGTTATCTGTGGCTTTGGGCCTCTTCCAGAGCTACAACCTTTTAAATATCAGTTCTTTCTAGTCGCCCTCATAGGCCCAAAAGCTCATGCTACAGTTTTCGTCGTTAGGGACAGAGTGGAGGGAAGATATGTTGAGTTATTTTCCAAGTACTAGACTAAAAGTCACTTTCTTATAGGGAACAACATATATGTATGCATGGAGGTGTGAAGAAGATGTACATCATCTATCTTGGTTTGAATTTTGTGACGACAAAAACTTATCAAAGAAGATAAAGAATAAAAGTGGGATATTAAAGGATTATCAATGATGATAACCAAGTGAAGAACCAAGTAAATTATCATGATTGTAGATACATTATAATTCACATTATATCATTTTGAATGATCAGAAATATGAATCAAATTTTATCTATAATTTTCCTAAACACATTGCATTAAAATGCATGAAATAATTCATTAAAAAAGTCAAATTTTAGCCAAATTACTGATGGTATTCGGATACCATATACTAGTATTCGAATATTGCTTAAACAAAAGTAAAATTGGCTTAATGTTATTCAAATACCATACATGATAGTTGAATATCAATGTTGATGGTATTTGAATACCATATATGGTATCCGAATACCAGTTAAAAAATTACAGATTTTTCTATTTAAAAAAGTGGTATTTGAATACCGTATATGGTATTTGAATACCAATTTTCAAATTTTAAATTTTTATACATTTTTTAAGTGGTATTCGAATACCATTTATGGTATCTAAATACCAGATGAACAAACTTCAAAGTTTTTCAAATTTTTAATGTGGTATTTGAATTTCATATATGGTATCCGAATACCAGGTGTTAAACTTTATTTTTTCAATGCATTTCTTGATGTGGTACTCGAATACTATATATGATATCCGAATACCAACTTGAAAAAATGTAAATTTCAAAATCAAATTATTCTCCAAACATTGCATTGTTCCATTAATTCAAAATTTTGAATGTTTGCAATGAATCATTATTTCAAAAGCCAAAGATCATTGTAATGCTTCACGAATAATTTCAAAAGTAAAGCAACTCTTTGTGACATTGTTTCATGTAATATTTAAGAGATACTTTTTCAAAATTCAGACTAACATCTTTAACTAAATTTTTTACATACAATTTAAATATGATTTTATGTGATTAATTCATCCAAAAACCTTAAAAAAAATTCTGCATAAATTTTCATATCTTTGCAAGAAGTTTCCGAGCATTAAAAGGTAGTGTAAGGATGAAATATATCTAAGAGGGATGGTGAATTAGATAAATTGGTTTTATTGAAATTTTCTCAATTGAAATTGTTAGCAATTATGTTCTCAATTTTCAGAACCGATGTTAAAGTAAATATGCTAAAATATAAGTGCAAAAAGTAAAGAACACAAATAATATATCCTAGTTCCTCTTTTCAAACAAGAGTACTACAGTCCCCTCATATCCCGTGAAATATTTCACCATGTCAGATACGTTACAGTCAATCAACTTGACTCTCTAAACTGTCTAACACAATCACAAAGGTACACCATCTTTTGATTTTACAACAAATAAGAGAAAACACGCCACTTTCACTTATAAACAATGAACACTAACACTTAGTGAACAATTCATAATTTTGATTAACTAATGAAGATTTAAACCTGTATTAATTATGAGAAGTAGTCTTCCCATCCAAGTAAACAATTCACAAAATACACTACTTTAAGTGCTCAGAACTTGATAATGAAACTTTAATGATGTTGTTAAAATTTTATGCAGAAAGCTTCATAAAATTTTGGCTCAAAACACTTAGAAGAAAATTGAGTAAGTTTTGTGTTTAAATTGTTAAGAAGAGGTGAGATTTGAAAATCTGAATCCATAGTTATTTATACTTGACTTATACCTTTTGGAAAGAGTATAATATAATGAATCATTGTCATGATTGATATATGAAGTTTGGAAATTCTTGGAATCAGATTGAATATGAAAAAACTCAATTATTTTAGTGGTAATCGATTAACATGTTATTGTAACTGGTTATAACTGAAATTGAAAAATAATTTTAAAAAACTTGCATGGTTGTAACCGGTTATAAAGTTTGGTTAACCAAATGCAGTTGCTATTTTTTTTCAAAAATGTTGAGCTTTTTGTTCTTGTAACCGGTTAACACATTTGTGTGACGGGTTACAGTTGTCTGAAATTCTAAAAACTAGCTTGCAACTACCCAATGTCAAGTGAATTAATTTTAAAATATGTTTGAATGCTTAGAGATGAAGGATACAAGATTGTCTTGAGTATTATGGTAATATACAAAACTTAATTGTAACTTGTACCTTATTTTTTAGATAAATCCAATAAAGTCCAATGTTATCATGGAGATTGTTTGTGATCCAATTCTTGTCATCATAGATTCCTTTGAACTTAGAACTTTTTCTTTCTTTGATAATGCATTTGATCTTGATACTTTGTCTTCATTGAAATATAATATACCATTGGAAGCTTGTCTTCACAATCTTTTTTTTTAACGAAGAAAACCAAGACTTTTTAAATACTCAAAGTTGGTAATTGAGCAACATATTGCCTCTTACTATGATATATCTCCCTTGATAGATCAATGTTGTAATTCAATGAATTTTGTTCATGCAAAGGTTAGTAAACTACAACATAATTTTCTCCCCCCGCAATATGCATAATTACATATTTTTGATACGGATAATGAAGTTGAAAAATAATTGATCATTTCAGATATTTGTATGGATTATATAGACAGACTATATTTCATTACAAATGTTGTTGATTAACAATCTAATATATCACAACTAATACAGGGAAAATAAACTTTTCAGCAGAAACATTGCCAACAAAAGATGAATACAAAGGCTTATCAGCAGGGAAAATAAAGCAGAAATCTTGTCAACAAATTGAAACTGCAAAGGCTTATCAGGAAAAATAAACTTTTCAGAAACATTGTCAACAAATTGAAACTTATGCAAAGGCTTTTCAGCGGGGAAAATAAATTTTTCAAAAATAAAAAATAGCCAAAATTTTTAAAATTAAAATTGAGTTTTCTGTTAAAAAATTGATTTTTTCTAGAAAGAAAGTCGCTTTTTTCGAAAGCTAAACGAAGTTGATTTTTTCAAAAATTAAAATAATCGATTTTTTCGAAAATAAAAAATTAAGTTTTTTCAAAAAAATGTCATTTTCGAGAATAAAAAAAATTTAAATAAAAAAGTCAATTTTTCTGAAAATATAAGAGTCAATTTTTTTTAAAAGTTAAAAATAGTCAATTTTTTCAGAAAAAAAAAATGAATTTTTTTTCAAAATTAGGAAAAGTTATATATTTTTTTAATTAAATTTTTTTGTTCTTTATGAAAAGAAAAATCATTTTTAAAAGAAAATTGATTTTTTTTTTAAAAGAGTCAACTTTTTGAAAATATTGAAAACTTGAGTTTTTTTTTAAAAAAATTTTAGAAGTCTTTAATTGTAAGGGCCTACTTATTTTAAAAGTCATGTATCTTTAAGAATTTAGACCTAGATGAATAATGTTCATGCAACTTTTAGGATGGCACGAGATCTTTTGAAAGACTTGAGTACGGTCGTGTGTACAATAGGCCTATGGTATCGAAACGCCTATGGCATCGAAACTTGATGCTCTAATTGAGATATTGATTCATCTCAAAGAGACAATTCTACATCTCAGAGACATCATTATTCAATGAAAAGAGAAGTGTAGGAATTCCCTTTCCCTATAGGAAATCATTGCAAATTCAATGAAAAGAGAAGTGTAAGATAACAAAAGTTAACCAAGCTTCCAGTCAATAGTAGGAATTCCCTTTCCCTGTAGGAAATCATTGCAACGGCTAAAGTGTCTGAAATAAAAAAAAATAACATTAGAATAAACAAACCAAACCATTCATTGACAAATAAAGAAAAACAAACCAAACCATTCATTGACAAATAAAGAAAATAAAGAAATGAGAAGTGACTTACTTGGAACCAAAGAATCCTCCCTCGGCAGAGATCTGTGATGGGCTAGAAGCTTTTAGGACCAAGTGCTTAGAAGTATCAATTAGCCTCTCTTTACTTTGTGCAGCTTTGCCCCACAGGAGAAATACTAAATTTTCTTTTTCCCGTGAGAGTGTCTCAATAATTGAGTCAATAAATGTTTCCCACCTTTTCCCGTGAGAGTGTCTCAATAATTGAGTCAATAAATGTTTCCCACCTTTTCCCGTGAGAGTGTCTCAATAATTGAGTCAATAAATGTTTCCCACCCTAGGTGGGAGTGAGAATTTGCTTTGTTTTGATTGACTGATGAAAATAGTATAGATGAATTATAATTAACATATTGGATAAACTAACAATTCATAAACTAACAATTCATAATCTAACAATTCATAATCTAACAATTCATAATCTAACAATTCATAATTCATAATCTAACAATTCATAATTCATAATCTAACAATTCATAAACTAACAATTCATAAACTAACAATTCTCAATAACGATCAGTACTATTGAATTATTATTAACATATCATTTTCAGAATTAGCATCAGCCTCTCTTTACTTTGTGCAGCTTTGCCCCACAGGAGAAATACTAAATTTTCTTTTACTAAATTTTCTTTTTCCCGTGAGAGTGTCTCAATAATTGAGTCAATAAATGTTTCCCACCCTAGGTGGGAGTGGTGGGAGTGAGAATTTGCTTTGTTTTGATTGACTGATGAAAATAGTATAGATGAATTATAATTAACATATTGGATAAACTAACAATTCATAATCTAACAATTCATAATCTAACAATTCATAATCTAACAATTCATAATCTAACAATTCATAATCTAACAATTCATAATCTAACAATTCATAATTCATAATCTAACAATTCATAATTCATAATCTAACAATTCATAAACTAACAATTCATAAACTAACAATTCTCAATAACGATCAGTACTATTGAATTATTATTAACATATCATTTTCAGAATTAGCATCAGTAATATTGAATTATTATTAACATATCATTTTCAGAATTAGCATCAGTACTATTGCAATCACTAGTATTAAATAACCATATAAACAGACATAAAAAACACATTTTCTATCACTACATTTTCAGAGATATGCGTAAATAACTTGACGTAGGCATGAGAGAATTATATAGTGTAATCAATCATCACTTCAATACATCCTACTGCAAGTAGTATCTCAGCTTAAGCACCACCACAAACATAAATTCATATTCACATACATTCTATATAATTGGAACTGGAATTCTCAATTGTATAATTTCCTACTCCCACGTTCCAAAATTTCATTTGCAACATTAATTAATTTTTATCAAGTTTACCCCCAAATAAAAGACTTATATTTTGAAACGAGGGAGTAAGATCTTTCACCAATCATTAGGAGAGAAACACAGTAATTTAGATAAAATAAGTTTTAAAGTGTAAATTATAAAAGAGAATCCTTTCCCCTATAACACTAATATCCACCAACATATAGTACAAACATAAATTCATATTCACATACATTCTATATAATTGGAACTGGAATTCTCAGCTGTATAATTTCCTACTCCCACGTTCCAAATTTTCATTTGCAACATTAATTAATTTTTATCAAGTTTACCCCCAAATAAAAGACTTATATTTTGAAACGAGGGAGTAAGATCTTTCACCAATCATTAGGAGAGAAACACAGTAATTTAGATAAAATAAGTTTTAAAGTGTAAATTATACTAGAGAATCCTTTACATCAATCAATGCATCCATGTAAAGATAAGTACCAAAATCATTTGTTTTTTGTTCAACAACTATCTTGCATCCTATCCTATCCTATCCTATTTGAACATCTTCATAATCTAACTATCAAAGTTCCGACTAACAAACCTGTCAGATTTGAGTATGGCAAAAGCAAAACTCCCTGGTACGCCCATTTCTCTAAGTTGCCCTTGGATGCAATGGGAACTCCAAGGTCACTAGCAACTTCCTGCAAAATATTTTCTAGCTCCGCTGGAAGCTTCTTGAATCGGGCCGGTACAGCAGGAGAAACCGTTGGCCCTCCCCTTTCTAGAATAGGGTTCCTAAAAAAACAAGAAAAAGAATAGAGTTAAAATAAAATTAATAAAATTAAAAATAACGGAGTTTGAATTGGCATTTTACCTTTTGGCCGAGTATAATGACCTTCACAGATGCAAATGTAGCACTGTTGAGAGAGTTGAAAATCTGCCACACGGGTGGGCAGATAAGCTCAGTAAACTCAGAGAAAAGTTATTCAGGTTTGAAGTTAAACAATATTTTCAACCTAGAGAGGTATTTTAGGCAAAGACAAAAACATAAGAACTCAGAGAAAAGTTATTCAGGTTTGAAGTTAAACAATATTTTCAACCTAGAGAGGTATTTTAGGCAGACAAAAACATAAGAACTCAGAGAAAAGTTATTCAGGTTTGAAGTTAAACAATATTTTCAACCTAGAGAGGTATTTTAGGCAAAGACAAAAACATAAGAACTCAGAGAAAAGTTATTCAGGTTTGAAGTTAAACAATATTTTCAACCTAGAGAGGTATTTTAGGCAAAGACAAAAACATAAGAACTCAGAGAAAAGTTATTCAGGTTTGAAGTTAAACAATATTTTCAACCTAGAGAGGTATTTTAGGCAAAGACAAAAACATATTAGAAAGGAACCAGTAACATATTAAAAACCACTCAAAGTGTAATGCATAGAGCTATGTGGTGCTTAATATAATAAATTATGCTCCAGCGTCATAGTGCAAAAATGTTTGATTATAACCAAGAAGCTAAAGGCACCTCTAAAATCACAAGATACAAAGACATACATCAATAAATCATATTGTAATACAAGTTGGGGGACTAAACAAAAGTGAAATAACTAACCGACTATTAGTTAACAATAATCCATGAAGTAGCAAGTAGAAAATAAAAACATAAATTAACATATATGCTCAAGCTAACATGCCTCCATGAAGTAGCAAGTAGAAAATAAAAACATAAATTAACATATATGCTCAAGCTAACATGCCTCCTAACACGGTGAAATCAAACTTTCAAGACAGACGTATAGGTAGTTTTTAAACGAAGCAACCTTAAAAGTATCATTCTTTGGATTGTAAAGAACCAGCTTTCTTTTCGAATCCTCTTGAATTTGCAGAAGCACTCGGTCATCATCAAAAATATACAATGCATTGAACAAGAAATAATCCTTACTAGGATCTTGCATGTATGAAACCGACAACAATTTAGTCCAAGAATCATAAATTCCATATTCCTTCATGACCCAAACATGGTTATCAAAAATTAAGCCCAAGCAGTCCCTCAAGACACACAAACTCCAGTAATGCAGACCGATCTCTGCATGATCGGGAGGCAAAAGCGTCTGATAGGACTCCTTTCCCAAATCAAAAGACACAATGAAGCGGGGATCTTTCCGAGGCCACTCAGTATAGACGATCCAATTAAGTGTACCTCTTATGTATATTGAGGAGCGTTGCTCATGAGCACCAAAAGGAAAGCTCTCAATGGTTTTCCAACAATTGGTGCCTAAAGTATGAACTTTTACTTTTGTTTTAAACAAGTTATATTTGGAGTAGTAAAGAACAACCACTTTGTAATTCTCAGAAACGTGATCGTAACCGAAGCCGAAGCCCGAAGAAACCTGGGTAAGAATTTCACTGTTTTCAAAAGGGGGAGACTCCTTGAACTTTTTAAAACAAGGATTCCACAATATAACTACACCTTTAGATTTGTCGCAAACACAAAGGATGCCGTCACAGGAACCAACGATACTGTTGTAAAGATTGCGACCGCAGCCGAAGCGACCGCATCGGTCGCGACCGCAGCGACCTCTGCGACCGCTGCGGTCGCAGCGGTTGAATTTAGTGGGTATATTGGTTAAAACCGATTCGAGTGAGAAAGAATCGTGAATTAATTCGTGTGGTTCATATTTGTAGTAGGCGTAATGGAGGCGGCTAGTGGTTGAGAGGCTAAGGTGCTTTCTGGTGAAAAGGGGATCGGATATTAGAGAATTCCATGACTTGCACATGCATCGGAGCTGTAGGAGGAGTTTCACAGGTAGCCTGCAGAATATTTCACCGACCAGATCGATAGGAAGACTGGGAAGTGAATCATACTTGATTTCCTCCGCCGTCGCCATCTCTGATTCTAACTCCGGTGGCCAATTAGACACCAGATTAGGGTTTGTTCTTAAACGCAGCCGTTTTCGACGTGTATTTTTGTTAGATACGTAGGTAGCCATGATTTTACTTTACTCCACCCACATCTCTATTCCTTATTTATAATAATTTTTTTTAGATTTCTTCGATAACAACCATTAAGGTTTGTAACAGTTGTAACAGTAATAGGTTGGAGGAATGGGTCAAAAAGCCCAATTCTATGTTATTTATAACAATTTTTTTAGATTCCTTCGATAATCAAATATTATTTAAGAGAATTTCTTTTTCCATCCTATCCATCTCTGATTTAAGTTATTTATAATGAACTTTAAATCAGTATAAAATTTTATTATTATATCACCATAATATGTGACTGAAGCTTATCCATTAATCGATTTTCTTTTATTATAATCTAAAAAATAGTCTATGTTTTTTTAAATGATATAAGTGTTTTGATTTAGTTCACAAATAAAATTATATAGTATATTAAAATGATAATATTAATGGTTAAAAGGAAGTGCAGTGTAATTGTTTCACTATAATTTTAATTAAATTTTTTAAAATTATTTTGATTATTGAAAATAATAAAAAATGATTAATTATTAACATGAATAAAATATTGTACAAATGATCTCTTTTATTTATTTTAAATTGATTTTTTCCTATGTTATATTTAAAAATTTTAAATGAATATTTATAATAATATTAATATATAAGTAAATGCTTTATTTTGGTAATTTTTTGTTATTGTCTTTGTGTTGCTATTAGTAATTGGGATAAAAATATTATATATTTTATATTTTTTAAAAATTGCGTGGAATAAAATAGTATATTTATTATTTGTACAAAAAATAATATTAAAAAAAATGTATAAAATTATATTTTCCTATGATATTGATAACACAAATTAAAAAATTGGAGATTTACTGAAACGGAATTTCAGAATCATTATATTTATCGAAAATTATACCCAACTATTGGAGATTTACAAAAAGAAAAAGTTAACCGGAATCAGAGATATTAAAAGTTGAATTTTGCCATTAAAAAAGCACATATATCTAATGTTGCAATCTTGATCCCAATTTGATTTTCAAAATTGTAGGAAGGGGAAACTCGAACCGTGGATTTGTTGGAAACTATAGGAAGGGGAAACCCGAACCTTCATAATCGTAGAACAACACAATTGGTGAGATATTGGCAACATGAGCCATTATTTTTGTCACTTAATGTAACGTGGTATTGTCACTTGTAATATGGTATTGGAGAAGTAGGGAAGGTGAAAATAGAGTTTTGGTATAGAAATAGTCAAATAATCTCAAATCGATTTGTTAGAAATTGTAGAAAGGGGAAACTCAAACTCCCAAATCGATTTGTTGGAAATTGTAAAAAGGGGAAACTCAAACTGTGTAATCATAGAACAACGACACTTCTTAAGATATTAGAAACACGAGGAGCAATAATTTTTATCACTTGTAACGTAGTATTGTCACCGGTAACGTGGTATTGGAGAATTAGGAAAGGTGAAAATAGGGTTTTGATAAGAAAATAGTCAAATGATGTGTGTTGGCAAATAATGACGTTTTGATTGGTAATTTAGTAGAAACTGTACACATAAGTTAATAGGATGATGTGGATTATTTTTGAAGAAGTTAGTGTTAGGTGTCACAGCATAGTTTGATGCATTATGTTTAATAGATATAAATAGATATTATTCTTTTGCCATCGCTAATAGATAGGTCTGTGTATATTAACTTCTATATTGATGTGTTTGAATACATTGAACAAAATTTTATATGAATATTTTAACTAATTATTTTTTTAATATATCTTTTACCTATAACTTAAATTACACTAATTTCATTTCTTACACCATTTTATATTTTAATATTTAGTTAATATGCAATGTTTTCATCTATTTGTCCAATATAATTTATGTTTCTTTTTATTAATTGTCCATTTCTTCTTCGTCTTTTTTATATTTTAGTTTAGATTTATATTTTTACCATATGTTTTACAAATAATACTTTTTGGAGTAACTTTATTTTTTCTAAAAAAATTATATTTATTTTAAATCCTATCTATGTTTACCGCTATTTTTCAACATAATTAGTGAAGTTATGTTGTTTATAAATTACATATGTGTTTGGCAGTTACATTAACAAAATGGAAAATAATATGCGTCAAATACCAAGTCAGTAACAAAGGGTAAGAAGGGCCGAAAATGAAAGGAATAGGAGAAAAAATATGAACGTCGAGCAAAGAGAAAACCATTTATCGATACGACGTGACAATTATAGGCGGCGGAAAGAGAAAGATAAGCAAGCTCAAACATCTCGCACTATAAATAATTGGAGGAGAGTTCCATTTCAAAATTTTACAAATATGACATTTCCAAGATCACACTTTCAAGAAACTCATAGCAATGAAGTCGGTCCAAGTAGAATTACACATGTTGTTGATGTTGCACTTAGTTGGTGTTAGACATTATAATCGTACATTGTATAATATTGTTTATTTTTCATCTCTCATTTTATGTATTTAAACCCGCAGATCGTAATTGCACATCACTTAATCAACAGACCAACAATAGTCAATCCGCTACAGGTATAAGGGGTATTGTTCTAAGTATGCGAGCAGTAATTTCAACACACACACACACTCACACACACACACACACACACACACATATATATATGTGTGTGTGTGTGTGTGTGTGTGTGTGTGTTAATTATTATTTTTGTATCAGGCAATATGGATGTTGATGAAGCTTTAGAGGATGCAGTAATATCAGATGTTAACATGGAAGCCATAGATAATGGTGCATCATCATGTCGTCCTCAAGGTATGTTCATAAATATTTTATGCCAAATAATGTAGCTTATACTTAGGTGACATAAAGTTGAAAATTATGCAATGTTAAATCTTCTAATTTTGGAATCACTACAAGAAAATCTTGATTTTCCCTAGTGATTTAGTGACGTGGTAAACACTTGGGAAAAAAAATGTGTTCCCAAGTGATTACACGTCACTAAAATATTTAATTAATATATTTTGTACATCCAAAATTTTGACAGAAATTTATGAATTTCAAAAGAGAGGGAAATCTGAATTTTTAAATAATTCAGTTGTGGCGTGGGTATCACAAGGGAACCTGAAATTCAAAAATGTCCTTTAGTTTGCCACGTGAGTAAAACGTCACAAAATACCCACAGGATTTCCACTTCGCTACCCACATACATAATTTATTTTGTAACCGTTGAGTGGCATTTAGTGGAGCCAACGGTAATAATTAAAATGAGGGGAATTTTCCGAAGCAAATTACACGTCGGAATGTACCGATGGGGATAACACGTCGCAACATGAAGCATTAAATCTGGGGAACTGTACCGAAGCTTTTTACACGTCGGAAGGTAGCGACGGGAATTCCACGTCGGAATGTACCAAAGTGATTCCCACGTCGGAACTTCCTCTATATATTAAATATCCAGAATTTCTTACGCACACCCACCAGATGCTGTGAATTCATTTTTCCCCTTCATCTTTCCCCTTCGTTCTCTTCTGTCTCCATTCCTGCTTGTGATTTTTTTTTCTTCAAAAATTAAGGTGAAGCCTTCATGTTGATTTTGTGACTGGTTTAGTTTACATTTTGTTTTATATTTTTCTTATTAGTAACTGTTGATATTTTTTTTTCAGATCTAAGATTGAGTTATTCCATTGGAAGCTTTGAGAGTTTCTTCAGAGGTATTTATGCATTTTAATTTGGTTGTATTTATTGTGTATTGTGTTGTTATTATTGTGTATTGTGTTGTTATATTTATGCATTTTCTAAGTTAGAAAGTTAGAAAAAAATTTATGTTTTGTGATTTTGGTGATATATGTTGTTGTTGTTAATTAAAAGCAAAAATAAAAATAATATGTTTTGTGATTTTTAATTAAAAAACAGAATATTTATTTGGAACAAATTAAAAAAATAGAATATTTATTACAAACAAAAATAATATATTAGAAACAAATTAAATATTAAAAACAAATTAAATATGTTAGAAACAAATTAAATATGTTATTTTTAAATATATTACTTTTTGAAAAAGTATTTTTATTAAAAAATAATGTGTATTAAATGTGTTATTTCTTAGTAAATCAATGATATATATTATAGAATATTATATTATTGAATAGTTATTATATTTTAATACACATAATATATATTATTTTAGAAAAATAGATTTTTAAAATTAATGAATATATTTTATAGTAAACAAAAATAATATATTAGAAACAAATTAAATATATTATGTATTTTTAATTTTTAAAAACAGAATATATATTATGTTAGAAGGAAATAAAATTTTTAAAAATATTTTTAGTAAACAATATTGTAAATAGAAAAAATTAAAATATATTTTTTAAAAAATATAAATGATAAAGAATATGTAAAGAATATGTATTATAAAGAATATTTTTTAAAAATAATGTGTATTAAATGTGTTATTTTTTAGTAAATCAATGAATATATTATTATATTTTAATACACATAATATATATTAATACACATAATATATTTTAATAGTTATTATATTAATACACATAATATATTTTTAGTAAACAATATTGTAAATAATATGTATTATAAAGAATATTTTTTAAAAATAATGTGTATTAAATGTGTTATTTTTTAGTAAATCAATGAATATATTATTATATTTTAATACACATAATATATTTTTAGTAAACAATATTGTAAAGAATATGTATTATAAAGAATATTTTTTAAAAATAATGTGTATTAAATGTGTTATTTTTTAGTAAATCAATGAATATATTATTATATTTTAATACACATAATATATATTAATACACATAATATATTTTAATAGTTATTATATTAATACACATAATATATATTAATACACATAATATATTTTTGAAAAAGTATTGTTATTGAATAGTTATTATATTTTAATACACATATTATACTTTA